ATATTCCTAGAATATCAAATGCTATCTGGGCAGTTTATTGGTTTGCAAACATCAAGTACCGATCGCTGTCCGTTATGTGCATCGCAGTCGGGCACCGAAAATTTACCCCTCTGGATGTTCTCAGTGATCATGAATCCGCTTTTGGCCTTCGAGCTACTGTTTTTCGCCGTTTTCGGCCAGACCACCTACGATGAGCTGACCATCAAGCCGGCCAGGGGCAACAATGCCGCCCCCTACCGACCCCTATGGACCGATAACCTTTTCAAGGTGGCATTCGGGATTTATATGCTGGTGTCGGTGGTGGTACTGATTAATTTATTGATTGCTATGATGTCGGACACGTACCAACGCATCCAGGTAACTTAACAGGCGCTGACTGAGCTATCAGCTGACTTGTAGCGCTTAGTCCGACCTGCGTTAGCGCGTCCGTGTTCGGCTCAGTGTTGGAGAGTTTGCGCCCCCCAAAGCGTGGATGATCAGTCAACTGATAGGACGGTTGCCGATTATGGTTACTTTTCGATTCCAGTCCAAAAGAACCCGGTCAGCGCTTTCGAGCTGCTCTTTTTTGCGGTGTTCGGCCAGACGAGTACCGATCAACTCAAAATACCCACCTATACCAAATCAAACCAGAATTTCCAGCCATACTGGACCGAAGTTCTGTTCAAAATCGTCTTTGGCGTGTACATGCTGGTTTCGGTGGTCGTTCTGATCAACCTGCTCATCGCTATGATGACCGACACGTACCAGCGCATTCAGGTAACCCTGCACCCGGCTAGCTATACTGTGAGGACCAACGTGTTTCGACTCAGTTTCATTCATCTTTAACTCACTTCAACTCTATGGCTTAACGGGTGCCGACCAGAGGAGTCCAGATGCGCGTGTCGTTGTTCGCTAGATTGCTCATGCTTAACTCAATTGCGATAGCGCAGAGCTTCTTTTGCTCAATGAACTTTAGCCCTCAATACTSCAATGCCGAGGCCCAATGATTCTCAACCTTGCAYCCTTTCGAAAAATTTGGTTTTTGACTGGTTTCATYCAGAAATGCGTGAAACARGACCCGATTTTTGCSTAATTCATTCTACAAGATTTTCCCAACTAASTCAGTTTGCTTGTGCATGGRYCAAATTTCGCAAAATAACGTCTSTAAAACAAGCCGTAAGGGATGATTTTYAGTAGAGCATAATAGGYATAAAGAAATTCATTCAAAAACTWCTCAAAATCTGTTTGACCGCGACTCAAAACCGAAACTTTCTCACTTTTCATCCTGCATGATCAAGMGSAAAACRCAACCGACGMGWTARGARRAKGAKWMAAAMTYTGTGARMCCCTAACTTTTCYGGAYGTTGAGCAAATAAATGCCCAMCTAAAGCCTGCATAAACATGCRGAAAATTTGATGGCAATTTAAAAAAAATCGTGGAAATATCTCGATGATGACTCAAAATTGAAACTATTTGCCCATATAGAACGTACTTTTCCTAACAAATTTCGCTTAAAAGTAAATCTCCTGCTTTATCCGGTTCCTCAGCAAAAAATGGCCAAACTTAGGCTGCACAAACAATCGCAAAATTCTTGTGTGAATTACATTTTTTATTAAATCATCCTGATGATGACTCAAAGTCGAAACTTTTGCCACTCACCAAACGCATTATTCCCTTAAAAATCAAATAAATTCGATCCCAAACTTGACTGACTTTCTGGGAAAATAACTGTGACTCCAGCTTACAGAAAAGTGCAAAATGCAAACAAAATTAAAAAAAAAATGATTAAAACTCCTTGAGGATGAGTTGAAATGGAGACATTTTCCAGTTATAGAACACACTTTGTCCTAGAAAATTTAAGTTTTTGGGACTTTCCAACTTTTCTGGCTGACGAAAAAATAAACGCAAAACTTGACTGCAAAAGTTCATTGCAAATTAAAAAAAATGTTGAAATACCCTGATGACGATTCAAACATGGAACGTTTCCCCATATAAACACACTTTGCCCTACAGAAGACACTCAAAAGTTAATTTCCAACCCACCAAACAGACTTTGAAGAGCAATTTCAAACTTTTATGGCAAATAAAAAAAAATATATTGAAAATACCCTGATGACGACTCAAAATCGAAACTTTTTCTGCAAATAGAACGCAGTTCAACTAAAAAATTCACTTAAAAAGAATCTCCATCTCCAATTTGACTGGTTTCTGAGAAAATAAACACTAAACTTAAGCCTACCGCAAAAGAGCCAACAACAAAATGCCAGCGTAAAACTAAAAATCTTGAAAATCGCCTGATGGTGACTCCAAATCGAAACTTTCCTCACTAATAAAACGGGTTATGCTCAACAAAACCCATCCAAACTTCACTTTCTAGCTTGCCCGGTTAGTGAAGAAATTAGCGCTAAACTCCGTAGAAAGGTAGAGAATCGTTGTCCCAGTGGTAGAAGGCTGTTCTTCTGCGCTGTCGCACGCAAAACCACGCTGCTATCGCGCACCAGTTCTTCTGGGCTGGATCATAGTAGCGAAGTTTTCACCCAAGTCTCACTCATTATCTTGTATCGGTCATTAACTACCTATTGTAGAATCGCGATCGAGCTAGAGAGGAAGAAGCATGAAATTTGCAGAGAAGAAGTTCGAGAACATTCTAATCGATTGCGGATTGTAAATGTGTAGCCAACACCTATATAGAGCCTAGAAAGTACTTATCATTTATTGCGGGTAGAGTTTAGAATGTGTGTACACCCATAGTAGTGTATTTTGAGTGTCATCCATTGAGTAATATTTGTTTTTTTTTGGTACAACATCCACGTTGTTGATCGTTTTGATTTTTGACCGATAGAAGAAGGCTTTTTGTGGATTTTTGCCTGACTTGCATGTCTTTTTGATATCGGTGCATGCCAATTTTGCTCCTTTGAGACATTAAATCGAGGAATTTTTAAACCTAATGCGACTGCAGCTAAAAATGGACCCAAACAAATTAAATACCAAAAACCAACTCAGTTGACTCTCTTCGAAACACTTTAACCAGTTCATTAATAGAGCGACAATTTTAGGCTCAATCCGATATAGAATGGAAATTCGGCCTGAGCAAGCTGATCAGAAACATGCACAGAACAACAACTGCGCCATCGCCCATCAACCTAATCACCACCTGGCTCTTCTACTTGGTGGACATTTGCAAAAAGCGAGGTATTTTTCAGAAGTGGGAAGATGAAATCTTCAACTGCTCAGAATGTGTTTCAGTGAAAACGAAGAAACGACAAAGTCTGGTGCATCTGATGGGCAGCTTCCAGAAAACCAGCCAACTGAGTCCAAGGTAGTTTTTACCAATTTACCTGCTGATCGGTGGAATTTTACAACCCCACCTCACTTTCCTAGATCAAAAGCAGGTGCCAAATGGCTGTCGAAGGTGAAGAAGGGCCGGCAAATCGCCCCCAAAGAGATCCCGGGCCTTGCAGTGGGCCAGATGAGTCCTCTGGGGTCTCAGCTGAGTTTCTCTGCCGCTACCACTAGAATCGAGCATGTGACCGACTGGGAAGCAATAGCGAAGAAATATCGAGCCTTGATGGGCCAAGAGGACGAAGTCAAGGAGGTGCCTAATGAAGAAAACGACGATGAAGACGACGACGCCCCCCCTAATCAACCTGCCACCATGGCAGCGAGTTCTTCAATGGGTTAATTCGATTTTTGATTGACTGAATCTTGATTGAGTGCCTTGCTAAAGCTGAAAACTGAGCTTGGGTATTAACGCGACCAATTCCTGTCCATTTGCTTTTATAAAATATATTGTATGTCTTTGTCTTTGGGGATGTTTTTAGCTAAAATAACGACACTAATTAGTTTAAATTAAATATGGTTCGTGTTGGTGGGTGTTTGCGAAGCAAACCCCAGTTAACTGGGAGTTTACATCCTCCGAGGCCAACATTCGCTCAGCATGATGGAAAGTGCATTTAAACTTTCCTCTGTGGATCCACTCGATGAAGTACTTCACCGATCTGGCGTGGCTGCAAAAGGCTTAAACAGTGGCTCTGTTAATGCGCAACTAGTTAGAGTGCAGCTTTAAAAAGTGGGCAAGAAAAAAATTGCCAGATTTGCCCAATTAACTCGAAAAATCCTTACAAGTTTCCAGAATATCCCCAATCGATTCGGGCACATGATCGGTGAAGTCCAAACAACCCGGCTGGATGCGCCCTCCTCCATTTACGTAGATATCCAAAGTTCCAGTAGGATCCTCCAAGCCATAGAAACCTTCAAAAGCACGCTTCTGCTAAAAAGCTCCTGATTTTAACTTTGAGGAAAATATCCTTCACCTGCATCAGTGTGAATCACATCCACCACGACAGCATCCTTCTGGTTTAGTCGCTCGGATGGTTTCACCGTCGGAAATCTACGGTTTTCTCAAATTATAGGCTGTAGTGGCTGGTGGGCGACGGTACCTGAAATATGGCCCTGCTGGATCCAAGGCTGTGATTCTACTGACTTTTTGGCCAGTAGATGAAAAAATCGCCTTCCCAGCGAAGCTTGCAACGTGAGCGCCTAAAGAATGGCCGATAATGTGGACGTTGGCTGGCAGAAGGGACGCTTCTTCGATGAACTGAGCCACCCATTGGCCTGAAATTTGGACTTCAATGAAACTTCTTGAATACAATCGTGATTGCTAACCGACGATCTGCACACTTTTCGCCGAGTAAATGTACGGCATTCGAGCTACAGTTTCCCAATCAACTTCCACTATGTTGAAATCGCCAGTTTCCAAATATTGATCGGCTATTCCTTGGTACCAAGACCTGGATTGAATTGAGGAAAATGTTTTTTTACTGTTAAACTATAGCAAGCAACCTTCTATGGTTCTCCAGCCACCCGTGGATGAGGATTTTGGTTTTTTTCGATGCATCCAACATCGATTTGGTGGACGTTGTCAAAACCGGTTCGCTCAAGTTCAGGCTTGTGAAGTAAAATGTTACATCGGCAGGCTGTGGTTCATGCGGGAACAACTGCAACACATCCTGGCCGAGCTTGAGTAGCTCAAAAGGGTTCAAGTCTTTTACATCCTCAGCCCTGTCTGGAACAGTGGTTTTGCCTAGCGGATCTCCTACTAAGAAAATCAAATTTTTGCGTGCGGAAAATTTCTACTTACTTGAGACGCATAGGAAAAACAAAATGACTACGAGCAAGGCCCGATATAACGCTGGTTTCATCGCGAGGAGCTCACAAATTTATCCACTTTGATGGTATGGTAGTTTAGGTGAAATATCGAATTAAGCACAAACAACCGCAATTATTGAATTTGGGCCAATTATTGGCAATGTTTCATTCGGCCTTGCGTTTAACAACACGCTCATTTGACTAATTGCTTTAAACATCAAAGTGCAAAGTTTTGTTCAATTTTTTTTCAACATGAATTTCTAGGTAGAATTTCTTCCTGACGTTTCGCAAGCACGAGTGGCTTGCATCTCCAGAAGTGGTTTGCTTGAACGCTTATACTATTCGCGTCAGGAAGAAATTCTACCGAACGACGGCCTAAAAACCCTAAAAACCCATTAGTTTCAAGGAATGGCCTCGAAAGTCTATCTCTGTTGATGAAACTTGATGTTTAAGTTAGACCGGGAAGGTGAATCGAATTGCCTAAT